GGAGAGAATAAATAAATATGTATAGGAGAATCACGGATGACTTCCCAGCAGAGATGACATTTGATCTGGGTTTCAAAACACCAGTAGAAGTTTGCCAGGGAAAGAAAAGAATATGACTTGAAGTGGCATAACCAGAAAGGACAGGGTAGTTTGAGAAAACAAGAGTGATTTGGAGAGGCTAGAAGGTAGGCTGAGAGAAGAGGAAGGTACTGTAGATTGAATGTTTGTTTCCCTTCCCCCAAATTTATATGTTGAAACCTAATCCCCAAAGTGATGGTACTTGGAGGTAAAGGCCTTTGGGGAGATGATTAGGTCATGAAGATAGAGCACTCATGAATGGGATTATACCCTTATAAAAGAGACGCCAGAGAGCTACCTCTTCCCACTTCCATCATGTGAGGACACTGAGAAGATGGCCACCTATGAACCAAGAAGCAGGCCTTCACCAGGTACCAAATATCCTTTAAAAATCAATAACCTAAAGTACGATTGGACTTCCCAGCCTTCAGAACTGTGAGAAATAAATGTTTGTTGTTTAAGCCACTCACTCTATCATATTTCTGTTATAGCAATCCAAACAGACTAAGAGGGGTTAAAGATGAAGCTAGAGAAGATATAAGTTGGTGCTGGATTGTACAGGGTCTTAACTTCATGCCGTGGAGTTTGGATTTTATCCTATGAACAGTGGAAGAACTAAAGAATTCTGGGCAGACTACTGGCATGTTTTAGAAAGAGCATTCTAATGGCCAACATTTTGTGGGGACTAAAAGCATGTAAAATCTGATTCTAGTTAGTAGTCTAGGTTAGAGGTGGTAAGGGCCTGTACTATTGTGGTAGCAGCACTGATGAAAAGGGGGTAACATAACGTCTCAGAGCCTGAGTACATCTGCCTCACTCAAAGATTTCACTTTTATCCCTACTGGCTTCTTCCCATCTTCTTTCCCTTGTTTCATAACTTGAGATAAGGCCTAGTCTGGAGAGGCCAGGTTCTTAAATTTGGAGTCAGTGGTTCTCAACCTATCTGAAGTCCCTTTTTAACAATGCATCTGAAAGGGGAAAGAAGAATTCAGCAGCTTTCTGTCCACCAACCTTCAATAATTCCCTCAATTTTTGCCACCTAAACAACACAATCCTTCAACAGGTTTTCGAGGCCCAATACAATAAAACTCCAGCTTACTTTTCTCATTTTCCACCATTCTTCTATTCTCCAATCACTCTGGGATAGCTATCCTTCCTAAAATTTACTCTGCTTTTTCCTAACTATGTCAGTATTTAAGCTATTCTGTCGATGTTTCCTATCAGTGCATGGTAGTTTCTTACCCATTCACAAATCCTACATTCACCCCAACCCCAGATTCCTCTGAGTCCCTTATTTTTAGTACAGGAGGAAAAGCATACATTCTAGAATATGAAGGCATGGGTTTGAATCCTGGCTCTGCCACTTACTTTATTTACTTACTTCCCTCACTACCCTCACTAAGCATGTTTCCTAATCTAAAGTGAGGAGAATACCTATATTACCTGATCTCAGTGAGTATTAAATGATAAATACAAGTTAAATAATTCAAAAAAAACTATAAAGCGATCTGTAGATGAGAGCTACAACAGTAGGTTACAAAGAGCATATTTATTTATGTTTCTTCCAATTATTAGGATATTCTGCCTTGTATTATTCTTATTTGTAGATATTTTATCTTCCCAAGTAAATGATGAGTTTCTCAAGAAGGATCATGTCTTAATCATTTTGTATCTTCCAAAGTATACAGAATAAAATTTTGTATATGGAAGTTACTGATAAACATTTACTGAGTGAGTAAATAAACTGATGGTGAGAGACAAAGTGAAAATTTTGATTTTTTTTTTGGTTTCCCAACATCTGAAACCTCTTCCTCCGTGTGACTCAATGGGAAACAGCGTCCCACCTCCTACAAGAGAAGCCAAAGACACCTAAAGTTTCCCTTTCCCCCCACTTCCAGCTAAGGCAAAGGTAACATATCTAGGCTTGGTCATTTAGATGCTCCCACCAGAACTTTGAATCTTGAACAAAGAATGTAAAGACACAGGGACAGCGTAGAATTCAAGATGGCAGCCTGCAGTAGTGATGGAGGTAGTGATTCCAGCTGTGGTATCCTTACTTAGACCATTCCTGAATTGTGACTTTGGCTGTGATCCTTGGTTCTGTTTTCTGAGCTTGATTAGTTCACCTTCCCATCAACTCTAAGGATTACTTGAAACCTGCCATTGTATTTATTTTCCCCTTCAGGTGGCAGAGTTGGTTTCTTTTGCTTATAACTAAGAATCTTGGCATACCCTTGGGGTAAGGTTTTAGGGAGGAGAGAGCTACTGTTGTATTACCTCTGTTTAAAACTATTCTTTAAAAATTGATAACCTAAAGCAAAATTGGACAAAAAGAAATGGTAGAAAATAAAATTGAAAATTAGAGTGGAGCCAGATTGTACAAGTCCTTAAATGTCATTTTGAAGATTCTGAATTTAGCTTAATAAGTATGGGAAATTTAAAAAACAGAATGATGATATGATCATATCTATGTGTGGGCTTTTTGTTTGTTTGCTTGTTTTTTGTTTTTGGTCATGTAGAGGATGAAACAGAACTCAGAGGAATTAGGTTACCAGGAAAACAATTACGAGGAGGCTATTACCATGGTCCAAACAAAAGACTGAGAACATTTCTCAATTAGGAGACAGAGAGAGGTTGTCAGTCACAGATTGGGTTTTCTGGAAGGAGATGCTGAGACAGAGTTTGAGGTGCAAGATATTTACTAGGGAGAGGAAGCAGGATTGAACAAAGGGAAAAGTCAAACTGCAATGTAGATCTGACATAGATCCAGCTTACCCAGCAAGGAGCTGTGGAGTAAATACTGCTTATCGGAATTGTCCTGCCATAGGCCAAAATGGCTGACCTTTTATACCTCTGCTTTGCTTAGTCATCAGATGAGGACAGCCCCAGGACAAGCATGACTTTGTGCAGAACTGTTCTCTGAAGGCGAGGCAGACTCTGAAGGAAGTGAAGCAGCGAGAGGCTATCTACTGGCTATATTCCCTGTAGCTGAACAGCAAGTCTTTTCTGGAAGGTAGAATTGGATGGCATACCTCTGTGCCTACCACTGAGAAAGTGATGACCTATGTATCTTGAACAAAAAGCAATGGAGTGGAAAGGAGGGAATGGATTCTATAGATATTGTATTTCATAGGTGGGGATGAAGAGGGAGCAAATAAAGGTTAACACGAGGTCTTCACATTGATATGGTTTGATGGTAATTCTGTTAAACTGATAGTAAACAACAGAAGAGAGAGAACAGTTTTGGGGAGAAAGATATGGAGTTTATTTTGAACATGTTGACTCTAAAATGTCTGCATAATATTAGAGATGATTTTCAAGAATCAATGCCAATGTTGGGATCTGAAGGTCAGCAGCAACTGCTATATTTATTGGCTATATGTATTCTTATTTAATATACATAATGTCTCTATTAGGTAGGTATTGTTTTTATTATACCCTTTTTTGTATATTTTATCATACTTTTTGTTTATGAAGAAACTGAGACTTGAAATTAACATGCCTGACTCAAGGAAGTAAAACTCAAGTCTAATAAAAAAACACATGCTCTCAAAGACAAGATTATATTGCTTCCCCGTGGAAATCACCACAGACAGATGGTATTTGAAGCCATGGAAGTTAGTAGGTCACCCAGAAAGGATATAGTTTAAAGGGGAACAAAAGGAGCCCCAAAATGGAATTCTATGAAAGCTAACATTTCCAAGGTGCATTGAGTAAGATGACATAGGCAAAGGGATTCAATGAGAGGCCAGAACAGTTTCTAAATTTAGAAGTATGGTATCTCAGAAGTTGGGGTAAAAAGAGTTCTAGTCCACAAAGTAAAATGTTGCAGATATCATGGAAGATAAAGTTTTCGCAATTAGAGGTCTTTGATTATCTTTGAGTAGTTTATAGAGAAGTCAGATTGCAGTGGGTTGAAGAGTGACTGAGAGATGGGGAAGTAGAAGCAAAGGGTATAGGCTACTTTTCCAGAAGTTCTGCAAAGCAGAGGAAATAATAATGCCTTATGCATAAGGAATCTATTAATATTATTGATTACTTAACTCCTTGCTCCCATATTACTTGGATTTTACACTTCCACCATTTCTCTAGTTATTTCTTCCTACCTCTGTTATGCCATTGTTCCTTCCCATATCTGACACACATGGAAGCACTGAATGTTGTTTATTCTGGTTGTGGATGACTTGTTTTATTTGGTTTTGTGTTTTGAATGCCTCAGGAGATTCTGTTTGTCTTTGGAGGATGGGCCATAGACCTCCCCCCGACAACCACGACTCCATCATCTGTTTTCCACAAAGATAGAGAAGCATTCACTTCTCAGACCAATTCAGAAAAGCATTCAAGTTCGTAGGTTCTTAGCAAACCAGGTGTCTCACTACCTAGCCTTCTCTCCTTCCACTCCACCCCCAACTTTTAGTGGGCAGATTTGGGAGAAGAAAGGAGCTGCCACTCCAAACCTTCTGGGGTATAACATCCCAGATGGGGACTAGTATTTCAGTGAGCTGAGATCTTCCCTTGCCAGCCCCCATCAGTCCAGCCCTTTTCCAGAGGGGGCTGGAAAGTAATTAACACCGTCCACCTGTGCACAGGAAGATGCCTACAGCCACACCAGCGATGATGAAACTGCCCACCAGGACGCCCAGGACCAGCGAAGTGTAGGGGCGGCCTGTTTGGCTCCCTGGAGAACATGCAGAGAGTTAGCCGGAAGAACATACCCCCAAGGAATCCTTGGTTTGAGTCAAACCCTTAGGAATTTCTGCCCCAAAGGAAGGGGGCTAGTTCACCAAGTGACTTAAGCTGTGTGTACTCTGTTCCAAACCCCCAGCCCTAGGCCTCCTCTTGCTCAAGGTATCCATCCTTCAGGTCCATCCATTTGCCCAGAACCCACCCAACACGCAGGCCCCTTACCAATCCCATCATACCTTTCGACTTTTTCATGGTGATGTGTTCCTGCACGTACTGCACACAGGTGTCCTGCAGGAATTCCTGCAGTTGGTACCGAGTACGATTGTAGGCGTTGAGCTGCTTCAGGGTGTAGGTGACCACTCTGGAGTTGGCCTGGGGCCCTGCCACCCAGGAGGCCGTCTCTGGCTGAAAACTCACAAAGGAGGTCCCATTCACAGCCACTTCGAAGAAGACATGGGCTCTAGAGCTCTCGGGAAGCAGCTCACAGCCCAGGAAGCAGCGAATGGTCAGAGGAACTGTGGACGGGGGATTCAGGGTCAGGGGGCTGTGTGTAGAGGGTACCAGGTGTGGGGGATGTCCACCAGGGAGAAGTGAACTTTCAAAGTTTAGGGTGGATAAGGGACAGGGCCTCGCAACAGAGTCTACCCCGAGGTCATGCTAGCAGGAAGAGGGCCTAACAGAAGGTCCAAAAGCTAGGACGCCCACTCCTCTGTAGCCTCGAGCTCCCACACAGCAATCAGCAAACGCCGGTGCGGGTGCCAGGGCACCACTGGGCTCGTGAGAGCCACCGCCCACACAAGACCATGCCCACCAGGCTACCTCCAACCACAAGACACCTCTGGCACCAGTCCCTTCCATGAGGTCCCGCCCCATTGCCGCCGCGCCCTGCCCCAGGCCCTGTCCCCCGTGCGTGCCACTCACAGGCCACGCCCCGCTCATGGTGCACCAGCAGCACCAGGTCGTGGAAGTCCTGCAGGTACTGCTGCACTCTTCTTTCCGTGAGGGCCCAGCTCTCGGGCTCCTGCAAGGGGTGCAGCTGGAGGATCGTGATGTTGGAGTCCTGGCCTTTCAGCACGTGTGTCGGAAGACCCCCTAGCGACGCGTTGCCTTGGTGCAACACTTGGCTGTAGTCTGGGAAGTAGGAGATCTGTAGCATGTAGAGGTTCCGAGGGCCTGATGGCAGAAGTTAGCGCGTTGGTGCCTTGCTGGCGTGGGACGGGTCCGCGAGTAGCAGGAGATAATAACCCCCTACCCAGAGGCTGGCCGCCCACCTTCTCGGCCTTCATAAACTATAAAGTGTCCTCCTACCCTTCTTTCCATTTGATGCTCACAGTCACCCTGCCAGGAGGGCAGGACAGGGATTATCGTCTTCATTTTACAAATGAGGAAAGAGGCCGGAAGAGGAGAAGCCATTTGCCCCAGGGTAATCCAGACAGTCAGTGGAAGAGCCACTCTGATCTCCTTTCTCTCTCTCACCCCTTCCTCCCCCTGTTTCCTGTCGGTCAAAAATTCCTGACATAATAAAATCCCTATTCTGTCTTCTCTGCCACTGCCCTACTTCAGGCCTCATCGGGTCTCATCTGGACTTGGGTGGTAACTTCTTTCCTCACGCCCCAGCCCTGTTTTTCAGTTTCGTCTCTTATCATCTGACCACACCTGACCCAGAAATAAGATTAGGCCCTTCTTAAAATCCTCCAGTAACACATTCCCCCATCAATAATATTAGCTAATAGAACTGTGCTTATTATGACCTGGGCACTGTACTTGTCATACATTATCTTATTTGTGCCTTCCTCCCACTAACTTAAGGTAGTAGCTACTATTATTAACCCCAGTCCCTACGTGAAACAGGCTAAAATGGATAGGAGAGCCAAGGTTTGAATGCAGGTATTCCGAGTCCAGCACTCTTAGCCACCTGGCTACACTGCCTCCCCATAGGATATCTGCCCTTAAAATCAAGTCCAAAGTCTGTAGTATGGCATTCAAGGCTGCTGGGGACTGGGCCTCAGCTGCCCTTTGCAGCCTCCCCCAGTGTATAGATATGTCAAACTCCTTGGGGTTTCTCATGCTGCCTTTTGACTGACATGTATATAGCATGTGAGGGTTGCTTCGCCTCCTGGCAAACTTCTATTCATGCTTCAAGACCCAGCTCCATTGTCCCCTCCTTGGAGTTTTCCTGATGCCTATCCTCTCCACCCACCCAGACACAGTGAGTCTGTTTCAATGATCCCAGATTCTACAAAATTGTCTCCAAACACACAGGCTACACTGGGCTCCTTTAGGCTATAGAATCACATCTGGTTATCTGCCTCCTGCACCCAATAAGGGCCTAGCACAGAGCTGGTGCCAGAGAATGTCTGAGGAGGAAATGAGTCTGGGGTTTTAAATCTCTGTGTGTGTGTGTGTGTGTGTGTGTGTGTGTGTGTGTGTGTGTGTGTGTGTCTGTGTTTGACCATTTTTGCATTTGAGAAATGCTCTGTGTCTGCAGGTATGAATAAATATGTCTGTGTGGGTAACTCTAGACAAGGTTCTTAACTGCTGTGTGGCCCAGTCTCCTTCTCTGTGAAGTGGAGATAATGGTACCCATCTTGTAGAGGTTTTGTGGGGGTTAAATGAATCAATACATGCATTAATTATAGTGAGTATTCATTGAATACTGGTTATTATTTGCTCCCTCTCTGAGGGGGGACTGAAGCTGTAGAGATTGTGGGAGAGGAGAGAGGAGGCTCCTGTACAGTTACAATGCAGGGCAATACCTCTCCTTCTGTGCTTAAAAGGAGCCCCTCAAGGCAGCCTGATCTCCCATGAGTTCTCCCACTGACCACAGCTTCTCTCTTTCCCCCAGTTTCACCTCACCAACTGCCCCCAGTCTTCTGCCACCTTCTCTAGTCTCCTTTTCTGCCTCACATATCTCAGCCCCAAGCCTTCTCTCGGTTCTCCCAGTGTCTTCCCATTCCTTCCATCTCTCATCTCATCTCTGAATCTCTTCCCTAAACTCACCCCATCCACCATCACCCTCAGCTCTCCCTCTCTAGACTTCACTCCATCTCTCCCCTCCCCGTGAGGCTAATTCCCTCACCCTTTCGCCCTGTCCCTTTCCCATTTTTCCAGTCCTGTTTCCCCCCCTGCCTCCTCCATCTCTCCCTTCCCATGTGCCGAGCTGTACTTCCTAATCTTGGCTTTGGGACACAAACCAGTCCCCAGACCCTGCCTGCCCTATAGAGAGATCCGACCAGCCGCTGACACAGACACTGTGGGATAAACTCTCCTCTGGTCATGTTCAGGTACCAAGACAGGCTAAGAGTCTCCAGAACGATCCCAAGGCAGGAGATGTGCCCCCGACTCACCATCTGAGGCTTCCTGGCTACAAAGGGCCCTGCTGGGTAGGAGCAGTAGAAGCAGCAATGGCAGAAATGTTGTCAACATCCTGGGGCTGAGGTTCCTGACCCCACCTGGGCTCCTGGCTCTGGGAGGCTGGGGGCTCCAGCTGACTGCAGCCTAGGGAAGAAGTGAGGACTGCCTGGGAGGGGAGGAGGCTGAACGGAGGAGGCTGGAAGGTGGCCAAGGGATGGGAGGAGAAAGAGGGCGTCAGGCTTATAAAGTGTTATTCCTACTCTATCTCATTTCCTACTACGGGGCCGGCCTCTCTCCTGCCCGCCCCTTGCCCCGCCCTGCATCTCGCCCCCGTGCCCAGACCTGCCTTTTCCCTTTGCCCGGGGCTGCTTCTGAGGAACTGGGAGCGGCGGAAAAGGGGGAGAAAGGCTTGAAGAGAAGTCCTTCCCTCGCTGAGTCAGGGGGTGGGGCATCTGTTTTCAACTTAGAGCCAACTCTAGAGTGTAGAGACCAGCAGGTTACTGATGGGGAAACCAAGGCCCAGAGAGGTTTAAAGACTTGCCCAAAGTTTGTACGTTATGGTAGTGACAGACTGGGGATTAGAATTCAGTTTTTCATCATGCCGGCTACATTTTCTCAGAATTTTAAGGAAATAGTAATTACACAATCAGGGATCTTGCTCTCAGAAATAGTTATGAGTATAGAGCAGCTCATTGCAGCATCATTTGTAGTAGGAGAGAATTATGACCAATCTAAATCTCAACAGAGGATTGTTACTTAAAGCAATATTTTTCAAGCTGAGCTCACAATCTTATTAGTGGACAACGAAAACAATTTCACAAGTCATGATTAGCAGGGTTTTTTTGTTTTGCTTTGTTTTTAATGAAATAGAATGGAGTAAAAATTTTCAAATGCATCACTCTTGGTAAAGTTAAGCATTATTTCATGAAATATTTGTTTGGTCATATATGTGTTTTGGTTTTGTGTGTGTGTGTTTCTATGATAGGTTTTGGATAGCAGTGTAAAAATGTATTTCTTACTCTAGGAAGCAAGTAGAAAAATCAGAATGTTATTCCGTCAAAGTATGATAATCCATACTGTAGGATACTATGCAGTAGTTATAAAAATCTTCCCCTAGTCAATCCCCGCTCTATTTTCATCATATTACTTAGCACTACCTGAAATTTTATTACTTATTTATTTACATGTTTATTTTCTGAATGTCCTACCAGAATGTAAGTTCCATGAGGATAGAGGCTGTCCATCTTGTTCGTTACTGTTTCTAGAATACTGGACATAATAAACAATATCATAATAAATATCAGCTAATGGATGACTACATAAGATAGTTATGATGTGCATAAATCTGCAAGAGTAAATTGCTGAACACTATATACAATTCAGAACCATTTATATGTCAACCACACATACAGCAACTAAACGACCTATTTCTTTTGGTAGTAAATGAATACAGAGGGAGAAGGAGGGAAGGAGAGGAGAAAGTGTATATGTGAGGGGTGGAAATCTTTGAAAGGCTTTTTCGCTCTATTTTGTAAAGGGCTTTATCACTCTATCTGTCGTGTTCGAAAATTTTACATTTAGAATGTGATCATATATTTATTGAGTTAAAAATAGAAGTTTAAATACTAAATTACAGTAGAAGAGGGTGGCAGATCATTATGAGCTGATGTATTGACTTGAGACATTTATAAGTGAATAAAGGAATATGGAAAAATACATATAGCATAATTCTATTTTTTTAAACTTTTACTTTTGTCCAAGTAAAACATATATAATTCCATTCTAATATTTGAAAAATAACTTTGTCTGTATCTGTGTATTTATATATAGATAGGATAATTTGTGGAAGGATACTGTCAATAGAGATAACTCTAGAGAATGGAAGTAGATAAAGGGTTTAGGGGGGATTTTAACTTTTTATTTTTATTTCCCTTGGAGGGAGAGTTGATGTCGTAGTGGAATCAGCACAAACCCTGGAACATACCAGGTTCCCATGCTCCGAACTCAATATATGCAATAGTGTCCATGCTCACCTCTTAGTTGTTGCAAACTGTCTTAGAAATAATATCACAGTCTTTTTCTGGCTCACCAAAATGATCTGGTCAGAAGAACGGGGTCCTTGTTTTTCTGCACTGGGACTCAGGAAAAGTGGAAGAGCTTAAATCACTGCTGATGATATCGTTTTGCATTTTATAGAAAAATATTATGAAAGATATCATATTCGAAGAATTATTTTATACTTGAAGAATTTTATTACAAACATATATGTCCCTACCACCCAGGAGAAGAAATGAAATATTACCAATGTAATTGAACCCTGCAGTGTATTCATTCCCGTAGGTGTCTCTCTCCCCTCCGCCCCACCACCAAAGTAAACACAAGTCAGAATTTGCTATTTTTTATATCCTCACATTTTTATGTACTTACACTACACATGCATTTCTCCCTAAGCAACATATAGTGGTATTATGCATATTTTGAGCTTTCTATAAATGGTATTGAAGTGCACATATTCCTCTGCAACTTGCTTTCTTCAGCTAACATATTAAGATTCATCCACGTTGTTATGTGTAGGTCCATTAATCTCCGCTGCTTTATAATATGCCATCTCATGACTATGCCACAATTTATTTATCCATTCTTCTACTGTTAGACGTTACAGTTCTGCGTTCCCACAGGCCTGCACCGCCCGCTGCCCCCAGTTTTTCACTATTACAAACAGTGCTAGTATGAACATTCTTGTACATGTTTTCTTGTGCTTATGTGGGAGATTCGTTGTAGGTGCAAACCTGGGAGTGGAATGGATGAATCATGGGGTATCTGCATCTTCAATTTTACTACATACTGCCAAACTATTTTATAAAAAGTTTGGGCCGATTTACATTCCCAGCACTGCGTGAGAGTTCCCTCGCTTCAAATCCTTGCCAACCCTTGGCATTGTCAGATGGTTGGGTGTGAAATGGCACTTCATTTCGGTTTTACTTTGTTTTATCTGATTCCTAGTGAATTTGTGCATTTTTTTGCTTTGCCTTTTTTTCTCCCTTGAGGACTTGAGGATGCTTTGGGACAGAGGGTGTTAAGTATATGATTGAACCAATTTGGAATTGAGTGCTGTGAGTCTTTGATCTGTGCAAGTAGGGCCTTAGCATTGATCACAGGCTAGGGCAGGGTTAAGCTCTTTACATAAATAACCTCACTTTATCCATATGTCAGCCTGTGAGGTAGATTTCATTAACATCCCCATTTTACTAATAAAGAAACTGAGGCTCTGAGAGGGTAAGTGACTTACCTAAGTTCACACAGAAAAAACTGTAATTTGAATCCATGTCTCTCTGATGCCAAAGTTTGTGATTTTAACCACCACAGAGTATCTCAAAAATTTTGATGGATCACTCTTGCATCAGTACATTTTTGAATACATACATCCAACATGCTCGAATATTTATGTTATGTATAATATAAAACATGCTCTAAACTCATATTACAAGTTTGGTCTTTATCACTTCCTCTGGGGCATATAGTACATGGCTCATTGTCTTTGTGTTAGAGATGAGATAATTAAAGCCCAGAAAGTTTAGGTAACTTGCCCAAGGTCACAGAGCTTGGAAGTCCAGAACAGGGATTTGAACTCAAAGAGGATGGGGGTATGGGATTAGGTAGGGAAGTTGGTGAGAGAGGGTAGCTTGAGGGTTGTCTCCCCCTTTCCCCTTCTAAACTCAGGGTTGGGGGTAGGGAAGAGAAGAGAAATGCTGTGGTTGGAGCCAGAGCCTATGCTGCATCCTGCTTGGGTGACCGAGGGGCAGAAAACCAGAGAGCAGAGTAGGCTCAGGGCCAGCAGCTGAGATTTGACAGAGACCTAAAGAATGAGGGTTGTATTGAGCAAAGGGAAGTGAAGGAAGCAAGTGGTGGCATTTCCCACTCCAGAGAGCACATGCCGGGGGAAGATAAGGAGGACAGGAAGCAGAGCCGGGATCGTGCTGGTGCAGCTCCAGTGAGTGAGGAGAGACCCCTCCAGAAGCCAGGCTGAGCCAGGGACTGGCGGTGTGCCCAGCTGGACTTCAGAGGACCAGCCGTCTCCCTCCCCTGTTAGCTACTGAAGGTACGCAGTTTAACCAACCAAGCCCAACTCACATAACAATGAAGAGTAGTCCCTTCAGAAGTCCTTTCCCTTAGGATGTGGAATAGAAACAAAAACATGTACTGAGAACTTACAATGTGTAAGGCACTGTATCAAGAAAGCAGAGTGTTTTATTCTCACTAGTGCCCTATAAAATATGAAAAAACAGCCATTATTCCTTGTTACAGATGAGGACATGTTACAGATGAGGAGACAGAGGCACAGAACAGTGAACTGACCTACTCTGATCCCCCAACTAGTAAAAGACAGAGCTGGGACTCAAACCCAGGTGAGCTGGGACTCAAACCCAGATGAGCTGGACTCCAAAATATGCTTTCTTAACTACTAGACCACCCTATGAAGATAAATGAGATGACTCATACAAAGTGCCAGAACACAGTACGTATTCAGTGGGTGGGGAGGATAAGAAAAGAGCTTGGCTTTGGGGCAGCAAACAGAACTGACCCCGCAGCAGGAAGAATGAAGCGTAACGTTAAGTATAATGTCCTGAAGGGATAGTAAAGGAATAGATGTGAATCTTACTCCATATCATCCCCTGCAGACTCTAACACACCTCAGTTTAGGAAACATGACTAAAAGCCCTTTAAAGTCGGGATGATTTTAGCTCTCGCCTGTCCAGCAGGTGATGGGGCCTGGAATTCCTGGCTTGGCTCTTGATTAGCTTTCCAGCCTTATCTTTCCATGTATTCCAGTCTCAGCCAAATCTGCCCCTCCTGGTTTCCTGAACACAGAGCACAAAAATGTTATCTTCTCACTTTGCTTTATCTTTAGGTAAACAGAAGTTCCCAATTTTATAAAGTTCCCAACTTTATCATTCCTTTCCATTAATTCATACTTTTTGTGCCTTGTTTAAGAAATCTTTTCCTACCCTGAAATCCCAAAGATATTCTCCTATTTATCTTCAAAAGCTTGAAAGTTTTCTCTTCCACCTTCAGGTGTATGGTGTGAAGTAGAGGTCAAGATTAGTTTCTTTTATGTGATATTCAATTGTAGTAGCACCACTTATTGAAAGTCTGCCCTTCCTTACTGATCTGCAATGACATCTTTGACTTGTAGTAAGTATGTTTATTCCATTTCAATGGCCTGTTTTTCTCACCCTGTACCA